AGACTGAAAACTAGCTTCTGCCTGAGCAGGAAAGAAAGGGGGAGTGAGCTCTGCGGAGGCTGCCCCCGCTCTATGCAGCCATAACCCTGGAGAAGTCTTTTCCCCCTTCACGCTGCCTTGAGCTGGTGGGGCATGGGATGAGAGGGCATGGCCCAGCCCACCGCTGCCCACGGAGGATCCCCATGCCCCTGCAGAACAAAACCAGTCCATCCTTTACCCTTCACAAGTACAACTATAACGCGCTACAGGAAGACCCTCCGAGCCATTCTTCTGACCCAGCGTCTTCCGTCCAGCGGCGGCAGGGCACCCAGCCACAGGCAGACGGGCCCCACGCAGTCTCTTCTGGTTTAAGCTGGAAAAAAAACCCCTGGAAGTCACTGATTTCCAGCTCCCTGGCACTCACCGTCCCGACGTTTCCAAAATGAATGTCGTTCTGCCGGAGGGTGAAGCAGACGGCACTGAAAGGGGGCTTTGGACCGCCTGCAGATGGACGATGGGGTGGTGGCCAGGGTGTTTGCTGCAGCCTCTTCCTCTCCTTACCCGCTGCTGGACATGAATTGCTCGTACCGCTTGGGGGTGGGCAGGGTGAACGACCCACTGTGGCTATGGGCATGGGGGGGGCTGAGGAAAAAAGCAAGGGGGCTTCTAGCAACACAAGAAGGGGACACTGCCAGCTGTGGGGGGCCCTAACCCAACACACGGCTCTACCTCAGTGATGGCAAAGCCCTGCCTCCGCTCGAGGGGAAGCGTTTCATTCAGACGAGCGGAAGGGTTTTGACCACCGACTGCTCCTGGAGCCCTCGAGAACGGAGACAGCACACAGCAGGGATGCGCTCAAATCTTTATTAGTAGGTGGAGGAAGGGCTAAAAGGAAATGAAACGTCTAAAACATTCACTGCTCGGGCGCAGGACGGGCCAGGCTGGGCCGGGGCCACCTCCACCGCCCTTTCTTCTTAAGGGAAAAAAAAGAAAAGGAGCAGGGTCTGTCCACAGCTCTGGCTGCCCCGGGCAAGAAGAGGGATGAGACACAGCTGAGACTTTTATTTAAGAAACCATTACATCGTTTTTGCCTCGACCCCTGCGGAGCCGCAGCCGCCGCCGCCTCTTGCTAGAGAACCAAAAAAAAAATTAAAAAAAAAAAAAAATAACCTGTCGACTTTTCTTTATTTATTTAAAAATTGTAAAAGAAAAAAGGTGATGCTGCTGCAGCTCACGGCTACGTAACAAAACTGCCCGCGAGTTCATCTTCCGGCACCAGACGGGGCCCGGGTGCAGGGAGACCGGAGGAGGAAGGCCCAGGAAACACGCTCTTTGTTTAAGGGGAAAAAAAAATAGTAACAGCTATTTGTGGAAAGGAAAGACTCGAACCGAGGGGCCAACCTCCACTCTTCACTAGGGCCAGGCCTTCCCACGCGCCCGAACTAAGCTGCGCTGCGGCTCCAGCTGCAATGGCACAGTTTGTCCGTCTGTCGGCAGAAAGCCCAGAGCGCTGGGAAAACAAACCGACAACAGGAAAGAAAACATGAGAGAGACCAACCCCGATGCAAGATGCCCTGGTGCAGATGGAAGTGAGGGATTAGTTTGCCCTACAAAGAAAATAAAACAGGCTGCAAGATGCAGAAAACCACATTTAGGCTCTATTACATTTACAAATACATACATAAATATATTACATACAACAGCAACTCAAAGAGGAAGCAAGAGAGTCGCAGGGAAGGGAGGTGGCTGGCTGCAGGGCTCCCCGCGCAGACGTTTGGCTGAGCAGTTACTTGTTCTCCTAATAGTTCCAGGAATGGGCATCGGCTCATCTTAGTTAGGGTTTTCCTTTCCGTCTCCCCCCTCCCCGGTCCCGGTCTAGTTTGTCCAGTACGGAGAAGTGCCGTAGGCGGTTTTGGTAGCCTGAGACTTTTGCTGCATGGTGCTTGGCTGATTGCGCTGGCCAGATCCGCCCTGGAAACGAGAAAGGAGCACGCGGTGAGACGGGAACCCCCAGCGCTGCCGGAGCAGGGGCCTGCACTGGTCGCCTGGGCAGGGAGCGATCCCGCCTGCCCCGCTGCTCACCGGCATCTACAGCAGCTCCTGGGGACACCGGTCTGCTTCCCTTTCCCTCAGCACCTCCCACCAGGGACCACTCCAGGCTTCATCTGAACCCACCCACCGAGCCAGAGGGAATGCGCTGCCCCAGGACAAGACAGCAGTGCTGGCCACCTCCATGCCCCCTGCCCTCTGCCGCCACAGGAAGAACCACTGCGGGCAGTGCCACGTGCTGGGCAGGCCTCAAGGACCGGTCACAACCAGCTGAGAAGTCACGGGGCGCTGGGGCTGCACTGGCTGTCGGCCACGGGGAGGCACCAACCCAAGCACACGGCAGAGCTGCACCAAGCCCATCTCGCAAGCACTGGTGCTGCAGCATGTCGTCCCCCCACACACACCACAATGTTGCTTTGCCTCCAAGAAACCAAGCCCCTCGGCCCCTGGCCCCAAGACTTTCACCACCAAATTAAGTGACCTCCAAATAGGAAGGACTCGGTTGGACTGGGCCGAGCTGGGCGTCAGCACACTGCACCAGGCCGGCTGGAGCACGGGGTGGATGAATGGGTAGATGGCGCGGAGGCAGCAAAAACGCCCCCGTCTCCCACCCAGTCACGAGGCTGATGCTTCCAGCCAGGTTTGTCCTGAGATTTCTACAGCTGACGCTCCAGTGACGATCCCTGTCGAAGTCACGGCAAGGGCATGGCAGAGGCAGAACGGAGGGGGCAAAGAGCAGCCGCCCAGAGCCCAACCAAATGCTCCACTAGTTTATGGGCAGAGCCTCCAGCACAGGAGAGGTGCAGGGGCTGGTGGGGACAGCCAGAGGCCATAACTGGTCCACAGCAGGCACCTCCCCAGCACTCGCTAAGCCATGACCCCCAGGGACAAGACCAGCCGGGCACCCCAAGAGACGTGGACAGTTTCTCTGGCTAATAATCCAGGACGCAGGAATTTTAGGAGACCCAGGACCAAGGGAGCTGTGAGGTAGGTGAAGGGCAAGCCACGAGCTGAGGGTGGCCAGCACGCTCGGAGAGGGGAGATCTGTTTTCAGCCTGAAGCAAAACTGGGCGTTTCACTGACCGCGAACAGGGAGGGGAGGGGAAGAGAAATGAATGGGAAACCCCCGTGGCACTAGTAACGGGTGGCCTCATATTGTGGCTCCTCGCATTTCTTTTACAGTCACCAACCAATGATCAACCAACCACAATCACAAATGTCAGAGCTCGTTACATCAAGGTGCCCTGGTAAGGGACAAGCCACTCTCTGGCTCCATGGGCTGCCTCTCCGAGCACCAAGGGAGTCGCCAGGGCAGCTCAGTCCATGCTCGTCAGCGAGACGCTTGGCCGGGGGGCGGGGGCTCTTCCACTTACCTGCCCGTCTTGCTGAAGGTGGTGGTGCAGCATCTGGGAGTGAGGCTGCTGATGTGCAGGTAGGATATGGAGGAAGGGGGCTGGCGCGTAGCCGGGGGCCGCGCCAGGGTTCAGGGGCCCGGTGGATCCGAGAGCAGACGGCAGGTTGAAGGGCGGCGGGGTGCCGGGGTGGAATCCCTGCTTGTCAAACGTCTGCAGGGAAGCAACAGGCAAGCGGTGAGAGACTCTCGCAAGCGCCCTGGGGTGACCAAACAAGAACAAGAGTGGCCTGAACACAGATAACCGGAACCTGGCCCCAACCCCGGAAGCAAAGCAACCCTGGTCCAACGCATGCGAGCGCTTCGGCTCGGCGCCTCCCCCCCTTCCCCGACGTCCTGCGGCTGGCTGGCTGCAGCAGCGGATTGAGCAGGCCTGTACACCAACGGCCCGGCGATCCCCTGTCCCCTCTATTCATCTGTCCCTAGACTGCTGAGCCGCTCAGAGCAGGGGCAGGGGGCCAGCAAGCCCCTGGCAGGTGCCTAACCCAGACGGGCTGCTCAGCACGCAGGCAAAGAGACGGCACTTGCCCAAGAGGTGCAGGAGCAGATCTGTTAGGCAGAATCACACCTAGGCTGATCCCCGCTGGCACATACACTCACGGCAGGGCCAGAAAGACCATCTTTAGCAGGAGGGATCACAGCAGAGGAGGGCTAGAACAGACCGCGTGCACACCTAGGCCAGCCGCCTGCTCCTGGCAGATGCTACACCTATCAAGCGTCTGTAACCTGTTCCTGAACAGATCCAGGGACCAGGATCCCACAGCCTCCCTAGGTCGCCTGTTCCACTGCCGAACCGCCCTTAGAGTGAAGTTCTTCCTAGTCTGCAACCTAAGCGTCCTGGGCTGCGGTTTGAGGCCCGTGCCCCGCAGCCAGAGAACCGGGACGGGGTGCTGGTATTTAACTCCATACAGGCCACAGCTTTGCACAGGGCTTTTGGCTCTCAACAAAACTGGGAGGCTCGACTCGCTGCCAACCAGCACACGAGACGATGCTGCTCGGTGGTCGATAGGATGTGTTAAGGCCCTAAGGGAACGGGGGGAGTCAGGAGTGCTCGTCCTGAGCGTGTCTAGAGGAGCCCGTGTCCTCATAACCCAGCTTCTCTTCAGGCAGCGTCACAGCCCTGTTTCAGACACGGCAGCCCCAAGCCGCTGGCCCTACCACGTGTTAATCACCTCGCCCGGCTAGAGCAGAAGGGAGACCAGGATGCAGCAAACAGCTTCTGTGCTAACTGCTCCTGCCACGAGCCAAGCTGGCAAAGGCAGCCTGGGGGCAGGGAGGGGGAAAGGAGCAGTGGGGTTGCACAAGAGGCCTGAAATTCCCCTGAGAACCAAACCGGGCAGGAGAAATGCCGGAGCCTGATATCGCCCCAGCTGAGCGGGACGGAAATCACCCCCCAGCTGCCAAGAGGCTCCCTGACAGGGAAGAGTCCTGCTCAAATCCCCAGCTGCCAAGAGACTCCCTGACAGGGAAGAGCCCTGCTGAAATGACATTAGCCAGTGAGCGGACGGCCTCGCCTGCAGGCACAGGAAGGAGGAGAGCACGGTAATGCTTCCCGGGCTGAGGGAGCCCCCGTTCCTCACCTGGGTCTTGTTATAGACTGAGCCACTGATATCAGGCACACCTGTGTTACTTGAGGTCACAGAAACACCTGGAAAACAAAAAGCCATTGACAATGAAAGAGCCAAAGGCAGCCCAACCTGAACCCTTTGTTTTCCTTGCTCTCGGCATCTCGGCTGTTCCCTGCGTCCTCCGCGCGCGCCACGTGCTCGGTCTCCTGGCTGAGTTGGGCTGCTCCCTCCTGCCCCACCAGACTCCCCGTATCAGGAATCCAATCCGAGCAGCCTACTTCCCGAGTGCCCCTTTTCCAGGCAGGTGCCAGTGCACGGGTGTGGATACCAAGTCCATCGCACGCAAGCGAGGACACCACCAGTCCTGCGGGTGTCACGGAGGTGCACTGATCACCTGTTTGGATCAGAGGAGTCGGCCTCCCCACCCCGGGTAAGGGAGTGCACCGAGCAGCACTGCTGTAACTGAGAACCTCCCAGGTGTGCATCAAGTGACATGACTAAGGCCTGGCTCATCCCTTCCCTGGGGGAGGTGGGCATGCAGAGAAGGTGCATCCTCTAGTAGGGGATTCGGGTGCATTATCGGATGCTCTGTACCAGGCAGCAGAGGCAGAGAAGAGCCACAGTGGGAGACGGTGAGGTCTGGGACAGTCCAGTGCGCTGCGGACTTAGAGGGACTCGCCCATTGTGGCTGGGGCAACTCCCGTGAGAGGCTCCAAACCGAAGCAGGCGTCAAGCTAGTCAGTCATTCCTAGTCCCAACTAGATTCAGGCCTCAAAGTGACAGCAGGCTCATGTATGTACCAAGCAAGAACTGAGGCATCTCTGACCACAGAGAAAAGATGGGGCTGGCAGTGCACTGGGAGGTGCATCTCTGCACGGTTTGCAGAGCGCAAGACAGAGCATAGAGGTTCTGATGGGAACTCAGCAAGACTTTTCTGCTGGTATTTGCTTGGGCCACAGCTGCATCAGCCGGTGCTACGTGGTTCAGCGGGCATTTCTCAGGTGGCGCCAGCAGCATCTGCACAATTCAAGCTTTTATACCGACCACATTGGTTTTCTAGCCCTTATGGCTGCAAAGAAACCGCTACCCAGGCACAAATGAAGGCACTGAGTTAGGATCTGCAGACAGCCTGCAACAATAGCTCAGAGAGCTGTGAACTGCTCCGCTCACCTAACGGGCTGTTCATTCAGGAGCCTGGCCAAAAATTCAAGCAACTTTCTTTATGTAACTGATGACCATTTCAGCAAGGACATCCAGCTGCGCTGGGACTGCGGGCGTAGCGTTAGCACAGGACGACTACTCCCCCACCAATTTGGAACTTAAGCTTCGGGCTTCCCCGAGGTGCCACTGTGAACAAGCTGGACTTGAGTCAAGTCCTCGCACAGATTCAGCCACTCGGTCCGGACACGACGGGGGAGTGGGAACAATGGAAGCACTTTGGACACGGGAGACAGAGGAACAGCTTAGTGCACGCCCCAGTTTAAGGCTGATTGCTTTGCTGGCTTCCCAACACTGGAGATACTGTCCTGCTAAGCCCTCATATCCCAGGTGCTCACAAACACGGCAAATTCCTTCAATGGTTACCTTTCCCAGGTCCAGTGCCAGCAGATTTGTTTTGTGCTTGAGATGACCCACTGTAGCCTCCTTTGCTGTAATCTCCAGCTGCCGTTCCCTGTGTTAAGTCATCATAGCCTGCCAACGTAGACAAGGCAGCGTGTTACTGTGTGCTGGCTGCACTGCTGGCCTTGAACTCGGCGGCACAGACAGTGGAGAAACCTCACCTGCTCCATAACCATGCTGTCCGTAACCACTCGCCTGCTGAAAGGGGGTGGAAGCAGTGTTCAGACTGACGCCATGCTGCTTAGCTGATGCTGGAGGTACCTGCAGACCAAGGGAAGCAGCAAAAGGCATTTTCAATTAGAGAGCAAGTACACAGCTGGCTTGCACTGGTGTCTGGCTGGGGAGGCACCCCAGGTCTGCTTCCAGCAGCTAGCAGAACCTCAGAGCCATGAAATGGAGGGCCTGGCAGCATAAGGAGACCAAGGATTGCTCCCACGCCTCAGAGCAGTGAGAGTTACTGCTGCACGTGCAGGACAGAGCCAGGACCCACCCAGACAGACAACCTTTGGCAAGCTACTCAGAGCCTCTCTGCTCTGCGTTCCCCAGTGCAAGACAAGGACCAGGCCCTCTGCAACCACACCAGCTTTGCTTGGCAACTGTGACGTGATGTCACCAAGGGCGCTTTTGACACATATACACAAAGCCCCGAGCAACCAAGGAATCCCTTGATGAATCTGGCCACAACAACAGAGGAGTCAGCATCACCCAGGCATGTTTTCAGGATTGTGGCCCCTGTGCTCGGGGAGCCTGGCTATCACTTGATGTTAACTCCAGACTGGAAAGAGCCTCCCTAAGCCACCATGCTCCCAAACCATGCATGTAAAGCCCAGATTCATGCCCAGTACAGACCCCCCATTCGCACACATGCCTGCAACACCCCCTCCTGTCCCTGAGCACCTTAACACCCACTCTCCCACTGCCTATCCCCTTAACCCAGTGGAGGACAAATCTTTTTGACAGACATACTGCAAAGTGAGCCACCCACCCTTCCCAAGGATCACTCCCATCCCCTCCCCCTGGCTGCTCTGCTTTCTGCTCCCTGCTCTGCCACTCCCTCCCCAATCTGCCACGTGCCCCACACACAGGCCGCCTATGCCATTTGCACACATGTGCCAGGGGTTGGCCACCTCTGCCTTGCCCCATTTCCCAGCCAGCTCCTAGCAGCAGGGGCTGCAGTCGTACTACTGGCTTCAAACTTGTGATGCGCAGTTAGCCCCTGCCCACCGTAATTCCTTCAGCTCCCATGGATTAGCTACCCGTGTCCTGCAGCTTTGTATCGCTTCAAACAGGGGCATCCAACTCGCCCGGCCCAGTGGGCTGGATGAGACACGGGGCCGGCCCGACTCCAAACCAGACTGGGCCCCATGTGTTGGATCTAGTGTGCAGGGCTGGTCCCGTGTGGACCAGCCATGAGTGCTGCTTGGATCCAACACGTGGGACGGTCCATGGGCTTGACTGGCACGCCCCATGCAACATGCACCTCAGACCAGCCCCATGCCGCATGCAGCGTACGCTCCAAATCTGCCCCGTGCACTAGGTGTGGTGGCTGGGCTCACACGGTGCATTCATGACATTACAAATCCAGCCCTTTAAAATCTCTTCCTGTCTTCTAGGAGGAGTCTCCTCTCACACGTGCAGCCTGGCAGGAGAGGGGCAGCTTTCAAGGCCAGGACTGAAATGACAAAGCTAGACAGGCACACCGAGGAGAGCCGGCAGCGTGCGGTTTTGCGGCCGCCACTTACAAACATGGTGGGTCCATACTGGAATGCGCTGGGGACTCCGGGCACGCCGGCGTAATAGGGTAACCCAGTGTAGCTGTACCCCGGGGGCAGCGTCGGGTTGAGGAAGGGCTGCTGAGTCGTGTGGTGAGTCTGCGTCTGGTTCTGCTGCGGCTGGGCCAGGGTGGTCGCTGGAGCAGGGGAGGCAGAATCCCCGCGGCCAAATTTTGTTACGTCACCTGCAAGAGAAGCCATCGGGAGCTACCATCGGAGAACCCGCTGCCTGCTGGGCAGTCGAGCAACTGGCGCAATGCTACCCACGGGCCGGCTTCTCTGACATCCGAGAGGGAGCGTGCTCCGAGGGCTGAGAGTGGGCCTGGGAGTCACGTCCCTGGGCTCCGTCACCAACCCACTTGTGACCTTGGCCCCAGGATAACTCTCTGCCCTGACGATACAGAGATAAGGATACTTACCTCTCACCAGGCACCTGAGGGGCTCCGTCAAGGCGTGTTAGACCACTGCCATTAAAAGATGCTAAAAAGCGGAAGCGCTGTGAGTAGCCAAACAGCGAATGGCTCACTGGGTTAAAAAGTGAACTGGGTTAAGCTAAGCCTCGGGCCTGAGGGAGTTAGGGCTTCTGCAGTGACCGGCATGTTTTTGTCAAAGTCTACGTATGTGCCAAGCACCACCAGGGGTCTGGAGACAACAGGTGAAGGCCAGGGAAGCAAGGCTTGCATCGGGAGCCACCTTATTGAAGAAGTAGGAAGGGAAATGTGGTTATTAGCCCACCAACAGCCTCCTGGTTGCACAGGGGAATCCAAGCAGGAGTCCCGCATACGCTGGCTTTCTGGAAGAGCCTACCAAGAAGCACGCGGAGACCAAATGAACGTGCCTTGTTCCTCCTCTGCCTGGCTGCCCACAAGTGGCATTTAAGGCCTGGGAGGAACTTGACTTGGCAGGGGCAACGCAAGGCTCCCAATACTCAGGTCAAAGATTTCCCATCACAACCCGACGGCAGTCTGCAAACTGCAGACTGACAATACTAGCGTCGTGATTGTGTGTGGGCCTGGACCTGGGGGTGAAGGGTAGGGGTGATGGAGACGGTTCTCCAGCAGCACAACGTGACTTGTTTTCTGTGCGCGCCACAGGCGGAAGGGGTTGAGTGAAGCCTACAGGTTCTGCCATAATACAAAACAACAATAATGTAACGGGTGAGAACGGTCAACAAGGACCCGGCACCTGCACTCGGCGAAGGAAGCACAGGCTGACTACCAAGAAAAGAAAGTTTGAGGGAACTTGCTCCACTCCCTAGAGACAAACAAATCCTTGCAGACACTTGGGGATGGGCCAGATGCAGGGAGCTTTTGCATCTCTGCACTGATGGGTTTTCCAACAGACCTGGTCACATCTTACAAGATCAGATCACTTGCCAGAAGCTAACATGAGCCCCGCACAGCACCTCCTCTCCTCCAGCTAGCTGGGATGGGTGAACTATGCTGCCTGCAGGGAGGAGGTGGTGAAGGCTCTTTCAGTTAACAGTGTAACCTACAATCAAAAATCAACACCTTCGCAGTGATTACCCTCCTCTCGCGTTAGCACTGACCTGAGTATGGGTTGTTAGCAAGGCTCCCATCTCTGCCTGTCAAGGTTGCAGGAGCAGGGAATGTAATTCCATAATAATCCTGAGAGAGAGAGAAAGAGAGAGAGAGACATTTATTAACACCCAAAGCACCAGCATCGCAGACCTGCCAACTTGCAGGCAGACAAAGGTTCGTGAAAGCAGAAGCAGCCGAACAGATTCGGGTCGGGATGAGCCGGTTTGTTTTCTCCTCCCCGGCCGCGTGCAAAATAAGGGAAGCCTGGGCAGAAATGTAACAGGGAGCCTGGCAGAGCAGAGGACACAGCGAGAGCCCAGGAATTCCCATTCTCTACATGCTGTTGTTTCCTGGGCATCGTTTCGTGCTTTCCCTGCTTTTAAAACAGCTCTTCATCTGGCAGGAAACGCTGCAGCCCTTTCACGTGCACAGTCGTTGAACAAGTGCCAACGTAAGATAAGAAACAGAACAAATGCGAATACAGGTTGTCAGAGAAAGCTGCCAAGGAGGTGCAGTCAAGACGATTCCTCTAGACTATTTCTGGTACTGTAGCACCCACTATCAGAGCCTCATTGCGTCTGGCGCTGCACAGGCAGAAGAGAAGACGCTTGCTGCTGCATACAGCTTATAGTCTAGGCTGACACGCCAGGCTGGGACATCAGAAAGACAGACAACCAAGAAGCACTTGGCAAAAGTAACAACACCGGTGAGTTAGAGGGGCAGGGAACAGGCAGACGGGGTAACCGTAACCAGCCCACCAGCACCTTGGCCTAAAGGTCATCGCCAACCTACAAAGCTTTTTGTTGCTCCAGGGACAGGGTAGCTTCAGGCTGGAAGAACCAAGTCCCTCAGAGCTGCTTCCCAGCGCTTCTGCCTTGTCCACTGCCGCGGGCTAGGGAGCTGCTCCTTCCGGCACGATCCAACACGCCTTTGCGCAAGCAGCCCAGGACACCGCGGAGCTATTTTGCTCTCAAATATCATTTCCTGTCCCTTTATCCCTCCCAAGTCCATCAAGAATGACTGCTTTGTGTGTCTCTTTCCTTGCTGCTGAATGCGTCAGCTTCACATTTTTTCCACGCACCCCTGCCCCCAAAATACACAGCTTCCTTTTTTGCCTGCTGGGAAAGTCCTCTCCTCCACGCTGCGAATCACCCCTCTTGAGTCCGGAGGTGTTACGAACTTGGTCTTATTTGGAAAGCCACTAGCACGCTCTCTTCAGCCTCTTCTGCATCAGTGAGGAAGCAAAGGCAGACCGAATTTAACAGAGCCCCAGGGACCAACTGGATGCTTCCCTGCAACTTAATACATTGCCATTTATCATTATCCTTTCTTAGCACCTTCCAGCTACTTCACAATCCCATGTGACAGTATCGTATCTGAGACAACAGGAATTAAACTTTCGCAAGCCGCTATCAAATCCTCTGCTCCAAGAGCGCCTATCGTACTGAAACGATGCTTACCCCGACTGGCTCTCTACGTGCACGCACACAAGTCGGGCATGGTTTCGGAAGAAAGGCATCAAAATAGATCCGATCTGAACCCGTGTGCTCCAGGCCTTTGGGGAAACAACAAATATGCAGCCATGCCTATACAGGGACAACTCCAGGGAATAGAGGTGGTGAAAGATTTCAGTCCCAACCCGATGCCCATCAGTGCAACTGAGGGGAAAAAATATGTTCCCCCGTTGTCAGGAAATAAGTCACGGGAGAAGCTGAAAGCAGCCAATTATCCCACAAGGAAAATACCAATTGCTTACAAAGAAAATTCATGTCTGCTCACTATGGTATTTTGGGGGCCCTAGGGAACGTAAAAGGGCACGACGGGCTTCTGATAAGGAGTTTGCTGCATCATAAACAGACCCAAGCAATGGCCACAAAGTGCTAGAGGATGGTTTCAGACTGGATGCAAGGAAGAACTTCTTTACGGTAAGGGTGACCAGGACCGGGAGTAGACTTCCCGAGGAGGTGGTGCAGTCCCCGACCTTGGCAGTCTTCAAGAGGAGATGGGACAGATGCCTGGCTGGGATCATTCGATCTCCACAGTACTCCTGCCCAGAGCAGGGGGGTTGGACTCCATTTTTCAAGGTCCTTTCCAGCCCCTCATTTCAATGATTTCGAAGGGTCAAACAAAGCTGAAGTAGAGGGCTCACTAAAACAGAGTGAAGGCAGCAATGTAGTTACACAAGAAAATGAGGAACTTGAGGAAGTTAATACTACTGAAGCAATGCGGCATTGCCTCAGCAAGCGTGGTCTGATGGGACGACGGTGACTACATTACAAAACAGTTAGCTATGAACTTAGTTCAATGGTGTCCGACACCACTGCTCCTCAATACAATCCAGACAAACCCCTGGATACAGAGGAGTGATGTGGAAGTGGTTGTGGAGAACAGGCACACCTGGCACGACGGGAGTGCCGCAGCGGTCAGGCTTCGTGCTCTGCAGTCTTAGGAACGGTCAAGAAAATGCAGGAGCTGGGAACTGCCTGCGCATCTGCATCAGTGCTGCTGGCCATGAAGAACAGCACTACAGACCACAACCATTACCTCAGGGAGATGCGTAATAGTTGAGCTCTGGGGGGGAAGAAAATGCTCCCCTGCCTCATACGCCCGGCAGTCTCTCATTGTGGAAAGGCTCCTGGAGGATGAAAATGTGTGACAACTTCTACTGCACGGCTCCAGGCATTTAACTGAATAAGTCGCGCCAGCAAAAGCTTCCGCCATCTCCTCTAATGCACAGGCTGTTGCGCTGCTGTAAGAAGTGGGGCCTGTGCTTCACCTACAAATGCAGAGACAGGGCTGGATTCCCACTTATTCCCCAGATGCTTATTTATCTCACAAACACGCTTTAAAAAAAAGTCAGGAGAGTGGATTAGCCATTTTAATCCAACACTTCATTAACAATTTCATAAATCTTTTACTTTAAGCTCTTTGCTGCTTGTTCTCTTTCTCCCCCAAGCTTCTCCGGCGAAGGGGGGGCGGGGGGGGGAAATCGGTTTCACTTTTCACATTCGCTCCTTTCACTTTCTAGCTCTCATGTGAGTCACAGGCAGACGCACACGCAGGGGGGCAGAATTAAATACCAACAAAAAAAAGTTTGCAGGGACTTTTCTTCTTTACACTATGGAAACAGTAAGTTATTGTTATGAAACATTTTTAAAAGAAAACCTGTGCTTTAGGGCACCGGTACTCGACAGTGATCTGTTAGCTATAAAAAGTGAATCCTTCCTTTCTGGTTGACCTCATCCCTTTGTAAGACAGGTCTCGGGGTTTCCAAGGACCTTGATGGTCCGGTGTTGGCTTTGTAGCTCTTTTGACAGACAGCACCTCCAGCATCAGGACCCCTAACTGCCCTCCACTGCGTGCCCTGGCCGTTTTGAAGGGGCCCAGGCCAAGCTGCAGAAGGGATGCTAAGTAAAAGGCCCCAACCCCTGTTTCTGAATACCAGTAGCATAAACCTTTGCTGATGATGCCGGTGACTTGCCGGTGACCAAGTTAGTAAAGAAAGTCATCAAACAATTTAAACAAAGCACAAGGCTTTAAAAGAAAATATGGAAACACCGTACACATTAAATAATCCATATGCACTATATCACAGTTCTATCTTAAAATATCAGCAGCAGTGATCAGTGTAACCAAATGTATTAAAAAGTTATTTTGCTATAATAAATATATTTAAGAGGCTTAAATACTTTGTAAAAATAAAAACAGCCTTGTCAGAAACCCCCGCCATAAATTAAAAAAAACAAACAAACAGGCCAGTGTTAAACAACATTCAACAGTGGGGAAAAAAGGAGATAAAAACCCTCCCTCTTTCTTTCCCAAGGATAAAAGGTATTAATTAGTTACAATTTATAAGTTCACAAAAAAAAAAAGTCTGGTTCAGTCCAGTTCCAAAAGTTGCAGTGGAAAAAAAAAATAAAAGCAATCAAAAATCATTTATTAAAATATTAAAACCAGCCATCTATAAATACAGATATTGGCTGGAGGAAAATTTGGAAAACTCAAAAACTAACCGCCCCCGCTCTCTATGTGCCACCCTCCTCCCACCTCTCCAGTCTCCCCAGCCAGGAGAGGACAAAGTCTATGTTGTGGGGTCACGGGTAACCAGAGAGACTTTGGGGGAAAGTTTTAAAGTGCAAGCAAATAAAAGGTTGGGAGGTAAACCTGTTCCTGCCTCTTATGAGTAGCCGACCCACAAGGTTACCTGTAATCTGGTTAGCACCTTCTGGAGCAGAGACAACGCCGTCTGGGAGGGGACTGTGCCATCTGCTCCAGAAGTGCCGTCACTTCAGGGCAGGACCAGGTTTCTGGGGAGCACTGAAAAGGGCCCTGGCATCCTCCACAAAAAAGTGATCACTACAGGATCAACAGTTATTTCCACTGAGGGCCTCTTGTACACAGAGCTGCTAAAGCCTAGGGATGAGCCAGCCACCTCCTAGATCACTAAGTGGAATTGCATAAGCAAAGAGAAGTGACTCATGCCGATCGGAGGAACTCAGCCCGACAGAAGAGTGAATGTGAACACTGATCTTCTACCGCTTGCAAAGCCTGAGCGGTTTTGCATTAGGTACCGCATGGAGCGAGCAAAAGTCAGAGGTGAAGGCCACGGTGTCTCTTGCAATGCTGCAGAGATGTCTAAGAACACTGTGGAGGGAACTGACCATGGTAGAGAAGTGCCTGCAGAAATTAAGTTGCCTAAAAGGAAAGTGAAAATGAAAACTGGGAAAATGGAAACTGGGAAATTTTAAATGATGAAAGGAAAAATGGTCCAGCAGATAAATAGAGGGAGATGGAAGGACAGCACAGAAGCCAGCATCAACCAGCGACGAAGCTGCAAGTGCTTCCACGCAAGCCATGGCGTGCATCTCTATTCGAGCCTGGGGAGGCCTGTGGCAGATCTGCCTGGTGGTGCTATTATCGGCTCATGTCACAGCGCTGGACTGCAGCAACTTCAGAGACCTGCAAAAAGTGCTGAACAGGAACAGCATGCAACTGCTGGGACAGGTGGCCGGAGCATTTCCCGAGGAGTGTCTGGAGGTCCGGCCCACCTTCCGGTTCCCTGACAAGGTCCTGCGGTCCAAGGCTCCACATAACGCCTGGATGGCCACCTATGAAATCCTCCAGCAGCTCTTCAGTCTCTTTAAAATGACTCTCCCCAAAACTGCCTGGGACACACACAGTGTGGAGAGGCTCCTAAATGCGGTCCATCTCCAGATCAAGCGGCTCGAGACATGTCCTCCTACAAATGGGCTCTATCCGAGCAGCCGAAACAAAGCTACGAAACTGAAGAAATACTTCAGAAAGATCGACGATTTTCTCCGAGAGAAGAACTACAGCAAGTGTGCTTGGGAGGTGGTCCGAATAGAAGCCAAGACCTGGTTTTACTATCTGGACAAGCTCGAAAACAGGCTGTAAAACTATGCACTGAACATTTCACTGCCTCAGGGCTTTGCGTCAAGCAGAGAAGTATGAGCAAGAAACTACTGACTGGAGCTTCAGCTTCAATGCAGACTTTGGGACTTAGCAACTCTGCACGCACTTGACTTCATTACTTGCCTGTAAAGTGAGTGCAGGTACCGCACTGACCTGGTGGGACCCTGTGGAAGTTATCAGTCCATAGTGCTGCGAAGATGAAGAGCTACGACAGCGCTGAACTTTCCTTTACGTTACATGTACAGAACAGTCTTTGCAAGTCAAGAAATGACAGGAATATTTTTCTAAGTTATTTATTTATTTTTGGTATTGTTAACGTTCATCCTGGCGTTTGTTAAAAGCGACCAAATGCATGTGTGTATTTATTTATTTATTTAATTTATAACTTTGTTTTCTTAAAGTAAAAGTCTGATTTTACAAAAAAAAAAAAATGATGAATTTGATGGACTTAATGTGTTCTGAGCACAATGCTCAATGTTTCTGGTAAGTCTGATGTGACAACTGGGTGAAATTTAGCTTAGATTATTTTACCAACAGAAAGAAATGGGAGCCCAGACTGGGAATGGCAAGGATGAAGAGTATTCACAGAAACTGAGGGCAAAACAGGATGATAAAGGAGGGAAATTAGACAACCAAGGTGTAATAGGTGCACTCAGGGACAGTAATGCCCTCACAGAACAGCTAAATGAATTTTTTGCACTGGTCTTCACTGCACAAGATGCTGGGGAAATTCCCACGACAGATCAATCCCTGCTGGTTGATGGGTCGGAAGAACTGGACTGCACTGAAGTGACAGCAGAGGAAGTTTTAAAACAAATTGATAACCTAAATGCTAGTAAGTCAACGGGACCAGATGGCGTTCCCCTCAGTTCTGAAGGAATTCAAAGGTGAAACTGCAGAGTTGCTGAGCAATAGCATGTAACCTAGCATTACAAACAGCCTCCATGCCAGAGAACGGGTGGGTTGGCAACAGGATCAGAGGTGATCCTGGGAAACAGATCAAGGAGTCTCACTTCCATCCCTGGCAAATTGGTTTAACTACCATGTACACTAAAGGACAAAACCAGCAGTCCCACGGACAAACACGATCTGCTGGGGAAAAGTCTACATGTTTTTTGAAAAGGGAATTGTGGCATTCTTTGAGGATGTTGAACACATGACAAGGGGGATCCAGTTCACGTAGTATACTTGGACTTTTGAAAAGGTCCCTCACCAAAGGCTTAAAAAACCCAAACCTGTGCTGCCACAGGATGGGAGGGAAAATTATTTTGTGGATTGAGAGCTGATTAAAGATAGGAAGCAAAGCGCAGGGCTAAGTGACGACGTTTCAGAATCGAGGGAGGTCAAAAGTAGGGTCCTGCAAGGATCTGTGCTGAGCTCAATTTTATTCAACATTTACATCGATGACCTGGACATGGGGGTGCACAGCAAAATCTCCAAGTCTGCAGATGACACCAAAATATTCTGGGTAGGCAAGCCCAACGCTGATGGAGAGGAGCTGCAGAAAGATCTCACCAAGCTATGAGAGGGCAAAAAAATGCCAGATAAACTTCAGTGTTGCCAAGTGTAAGGTAATGCACCTGGGGAAAAATCACCTCAGGAGCAGTACACAATGCTGGGTTCTGAACTAGCTGCTCCAGTTCGGGAGAGAGACCTTGGCTTCACTGTAGACAGTCCTCTAAAAACCTCGGCTGGATGTGCAGTGGCGACCAAGAGTCAATACAGAGCAGGGTATCATTAAGAAGGGAACTGAAAACAAAACGGAGAACATCGTCTTGCCACTATACAAACCCATGGTATGCCCACACCTGGAACACTGTCGGCAGTTCCACTCCCTACATCTCAAAAAGGATGTAGAAAAACTAGAACAGGCACAGAGGCAACCAAAACGATCAGGGGCCAGGAGCAGTTCCCATGCCAAGAGACACTAAAGGCTAGGACTCTTCAGCTTGGAAAGGAGAATGCTATGGGGGGAATATGAGAGAAGCTATAAAACCATGAAGGGAAGGGTGCAGACCAAGTGAACAGGGAACTGTTGTTCACCAAGTCCCACAATACTAGACTAAGGGACACCTGCTGAAATGAACAGGTGACAGGTTTAAAACTAACAAGGACGTTTTTAATGCAATGTGTAGTGACCTTGTGCAATTCACTGCCAAAAGAGGGGATAGAGGCAGACCGCACAGTCAGGTTCAAAAAGGGACCAGATAAATTGCGAGGGGCAGCAGGGGAGGTCATGCTTACGGGCAACCAACATGGGTTCATTCAAGGCAGGTGCTGTCAGACCAACCTGGTGGCCTTCTACGACCAGGTCACAAAGCCTTGGATGCAGGTGTCGCAGTGAACGTAGCCTTCCTGGACTTCAGGAAGGCCTTCAACACCATCTCTCACCCATTCCTCATTAAAAAACTAGGCGACTGTGGCGTCAACACCTACACAGTCAGATGGGTCACCAATTGGCTGGAGGGCCGCCCCCAGAGAGTGGTGGTGGACGGGTCTTATTCGACCTGCAGGGATGTGGGCAGTGGGTCCCCCAGGGCTCAGTCCTCGGGCCTGCACTGTTCAACATCTTCATCAGCGACTTGGACGAGGGGGTGAAAAGCACCCTGTTCAAATTCACAGACAACACTAAGATGTGGGGGGAAGTGGGCACGCTAGAAGGGAGGAATAGGCTGCAATCGGATCTAGACAGGTTAGAGGGGTGGGCAGATGAGAACAGGATGGGGTTCAACACTGACAAGTGCAAGGTGCTGCACCTGGGGAGGAAGAACCAGCAGCAGACCTACAGGCTGGGGAACTCCCTTCTCGTCAGTGCAGAGGCAGAAAAGGATCTTGGAGTCATTATTGATGCCAAAATGAACATGGGCCGACAGTGTGGGGACGTGGTCAGGAAAGGCAACCACACCTTGTCCTGCATCCAAAGGTGCATCTCGAGCAGGTCCAGGGAGGTGATCCTCCCCCTCTATGCGACGCTGGTCAGGCCGCAGCTGGAGTATTGTGTCCAGTTCTGTGCGCCCCATTTCAGGAGGGATGTGGACAGCATGGAGGGGGTCCAGAGGAGGCCACCCGCATGATCCGGGGACAACAGGGCAGACCCTACAATGAGAAGCTACGGGACCTGAACCTGTTCAGCCTCCACAAGAGAAGGCCGAGAGGGGATCTAGTGGCTGCCTATAAACTTGCCAAGGGAAACCAGCAGGCATTGGGAGAGACCCTGTTCCCCTGAGCACTACCAGGAGTGACGAGGAATACCGGTCACAAGCTGGCAGAGGGTAGATTCAGACTAGACATCAGGAGGCGCTGCTTCACTGTCAGGGCAGCTACGACCTGGAACCAACTTCCAAGGGAAGTGGTGCTCACCCCTACCCTGGGGGTCTTCAAAAGGAGGCTAGATAGACACATAGCCAGGGTCATTTGCCCCCAGCATCCTTTCCTGCCATGGCGGGGGGTCGGACTAGATGATCTGCTTAGGTCCCTTCCGACCCGACCAACTATGAAATTTATGGATGATAGCAATATTAATAGCTATTGAATACTGGTTATACCAATACATCGGTTGCCTATTGGATTGGCACCAATAAGAGGGAAATTTACATTATTGGCTATCGACTTTTTTTTTTTTGGTCATTGTAGCCAATAACGTTTTCCAATGATGCCTTCTGGCTGGGGCCCCTGGATGCCTGGGTTCCCTCTTGCCCATGTGGCCAAGACCCCTGGATGCCTGGGCTCCCTCCTGCGAGCTGGGGTGAACCCGGATATGCCCCCATCCCCTCACCACCACTACTACTGTCAGATTTAGGATACTCATCAGTGATCACTGAAGGTAGTTACCTGCATGGGGCAGGACATCGCATCATCACATCCGTGAACTTTACTACCTCCATTCTGTAACCAGTTCGGTTTCTTCCCATTATTGCTACTGGAGACAGTCTTGCAAAGGTTCTGCAGACCAGGGAGCCCACGTCTTTGAAGCGTTTGCATGCCATCTTGTTGGTTCACTGGCCCCACGTGTGTCACGCAGGTAAACGCAGAGCTGTTCGTACTCGTTTTTCTGCGGATGCAAGTCTCTCACACAGCAAGCCCACCTGGCACACCCAGCAGTTGTAGACATGGCCCCTTTGTCTGAAGGGCCAAGTCTGACACCCGTAGATTAGGAAGAAGCTATGGTGGAGCTAAGGCTCAGTCCGACTCCAGGTGAAAAATAAAAATGGGGCTCTTTTAGGCTACCAAAAGCCACAGGGCCAAACTCAAGCTCTCCTTTTTCCCTTCTGCTAATAGGCAATGACAAAAATTAATCGGGAAAAATGGAGGGGAAAACCTAGAAAAGTTACTAACCTGCTAAAACCCCCCCAAATGGACAGAAAGTGGTTGTCTGGCCAGACAAATACAGTATGCAAGACCACAGAAACTCTCTCCAGGAAGAGACAGTTGAAAGGAAATGAGGAGCAAGAAGCATGCACCACCCTGTATACGCTGTTAGTGCCAAACATGAGGAAGAGGAGGACACGTGCACGCTGTATGGGTATTGCTCAGGACAAAAAGGTGACCGAGACTGAGCATGTGTACAGGGACGGACACAGCAAGTCGAAATGTGGCACTGCTCCACGAGTGCATGACCTGCACGGCGTACTACTAAATTGCATTCATTTCTATTACTCCAGTCCTCAAGGGCATTTAGCTTTTATTGTATAACATTGTTCTGCCTCTGTACAAACAGCGTCTCCCAAACGTGTCATAAAATCCAGATTCTTTTGCACTCACTTTTTGTGATAATATTTTTAATGAACATATTAATGCCTAAGCTCAAAACCACAATCGTGAGCAATTCCTAATAACCACTTCCTACCCTCATAGTTTCATAATCAGCACGACCCACTGTAGTCTCCCCTTCAGCCAGGTTTTTTAAACCACCTTATGTTTCTACTAACCGTATCTTCTCCAGCTTAAATGACTTCCTCTGTGGCACTGTATTATATTAATGCTTTATTCAAGATAGACCAAGCCAATACAGTAGGTCTAACCTAAAAACGTAACATATCAAACAACCTTCCTTTGGAAAAGACCAGACATGGGGGATATGGAAGAGACGAGATAAATAGGGTTACTGCTGGGCCACGGATCCTCTTAGGGTACGTTATGTTGGAGAGCTCTTGAAGCAAACCTCTTCAAAGCTTGCACTCTCGCTAAACCCTTAAGGAAGTCTCTCTACAGTCAGTTCCCCCCTTCCTGCTCCAGTACGACACAAGCACGTCTGGGAGCTGGAAGTAGTCCAGGAACGGGCAGGAAACCCAGGGAATGTTCTAATACTTTTAAGCCCTCCCAGGGGAAAGAAATCAATG